ATAATTTTTCTAACCAGTCTTCGAGATGAAAATCAACTTAGACAGGATTTTCACCTGTTCGGCTCATACGCCCGGCGGATCCAAGCAGTGTGCACCGCAACAAGTTCAAAGTACATGAAATAATTTATAATATTGTATTTAGTAATTATGGATTCTCTTCTACTAATTACATATTTAATAGCTCAATTATCTGCTGAATGCCACTTAGTGCAAAATAATTAAATTCACTAAATTTCATCATTTATGTTAATCATGGCGTAGTTAATTTGAAGGCATGTGCATTAATTGCATACAGTTTTAGCAATTAATCATATATGCCTATTCGATTTTATTTATATTTGTAAATTATATATTAATACATACTTGAATTTGCTACAAGTGTACTTATAATATTTCCACCTCTTTAAGTGCCCTCATATATATTTATGTGGTTATAATTGAATGTTAAGCTGCATTTAAACTATTCAGTGTTTATTGGAGGGAATTTTATACTTACGTATGTATGTACATGCAGATATAGGCAAAATTAACTATTAAATATAGAATGAGGGTTCGGGTAGCTTTTTTGTGTCGAAATGAAGATAATTTATTAATTTTATTTGGATTATCTAATAATAATGAACCCAACGTGTACCCACCATTCAGCCGCCAAACCGACGAGAGGAGCGCCATCCGCATAACGTACGTAATTTTAAGAGTCATAAGAGGCAAGAGTTTGTTAAGTGCCGAGATTTACAACTCTTCAACTACACAAAAAAAAATAAATTCAACAGCTGAAATTTAGTAAATAAATAATTTTAATATTTAAATATTGAATGAATCAATAATTGTTATTTTGATGTTGACAAGTAAGTTTGGAAGGTCGATGGTGCTGGAGTTAAAAATAAAATCGCTACACAATCGGCAAAAAGGTTCATTCAATTCTTAATTGGTTTTACATTATTCTGATAGTGAGGGCCTAAGCTGTTTAGATATACGAGGTGGAACATTAAAGTTACCCCCCAGACAAGCGCCGTGAACTACAAATTGATTCGTTTAGAAGTTTGACTACGAGCAATGAGCCCGAAACTAATCTAAAACTTGCGAGAGTGGGTTGATTTAAAAGCTTTAAAGGGTTGTTATAGGGGGGACAATTTATCAGAGACTACAATTGGAAATGTCTTGTAACAAAAATTAAAAAAATGTTGTTGAACAGAGTGATGAAAAAGTTCAATATCAGCAAACCATATTCGCATATAAAGTGCCTTAGTTGCATGAGGGTTTTTAAACTCTTTTGACCATCTATTTAGAAAGACAGAATGATTTTTAACTTTTATGACTGTGGGATATATATGAAGATGGAAGTTGAGCAAAGTGTTCATCATAACCGCCAAATCAACAAACTTATACACTAGCTCTAGACTAAAATTTTTAATTAAAGAAGGAAAAGATTGAACAAGGCTTCGCGAAGAGCATATCGCCTTACATTTGTAAAGGTTCAGATGGAACAATGACATACCAAGTAGCTGAATTTTTAAGATGTGTTTGTAAGAAAATTTGTTTACATCATCCGCATAGAAGAATATGTTTGAATACTTTAATACGAAAGATAGTTCAATCAGTGTCGATGTCAGTTTGCTCATCTATACGAGTATATACAGTGTGCGCCAGCTAAACGTTCGGCATTTCAACATTGAGAAACTCTGACATTTTTCAGCCGATTTAGACAAATCAGCAAGATTTATTGAGGATATACTTTGCCTTTCATTTCGAATCAGTTTTTGAACACAACGTCTTTTAAATGACCACCTTCATCCGCATTGGCCAGCATTTCAGGCGTTACAACGGCTATTTCGGCTCGTGAGTTTCCTTTTAGTTCGTCGATTGTCTTTGGATTACTGGCATAAACTTTACTTTTTAAATAGCCTCAAAGAAAAAAGTCAGGTACCGTCGCATCCGGAGATCGAGGCAATCACACCAAATCACTATATTTCATTAAACGAGCTTCATAAGATGGACACGCACTGTTTTCCCAACTGAATAATTGTTCTAAGGTTAAGCGCTACGATTTCAGTGCATTATTTTGGTGTGTATTTACTCATGGTTAAAATGGCACTGAATAACGTTTCAAAATCATGCACATTTGTCAAAATCGGCTAAAAACCGATAAAAACCGAGATGTATTCAGTGCTTAAATACCGAAGGTCTAGTTGGCGCAGTTTGCTTGATCACTTATCATAGCGGTCTGAATATTGGAGGATTGGACGTAAGTCCCGATAAGATAAGATTTTCCGGGCAATGAGCTTCAGACCAATCTGTTCGAAAAAATCGATTTAATTTTGAAATCCTTTGCTTTACAGTAGCATCTTTGTGTCCAAATTACCAAGGGGAACATTTTTCTTTCAAGAAATGGGAGTGGGACGGTTTATTCAAACCATTTTTTTTTATCATTTGATTGACATAAAATTTGGAATTTGGTACAAAGGTGGGCTCTACGTTAAAATACTATTACGTTTAGTTAAGATATTAACTCCTTAGTCTCAATTAGTTAATGCTCCCCAACAACCGAACTTAGTCATACCTTTTGCAAAAACTGTTCAAGTATCTAAGCAGAATTTAAAGATATAGGATTTTTTGAATATTATGATAGATAACGAAAGCACTTCTTTAACCCAATATCCAAGGACCAGAGTCTCGCAAATCGTAATCTTTAATAAACAACAACACAAAAGTATTAAAAATGTATTTTTCACTAAATTTTCTGTGTTTAATAAATAAATATGTAAATTAAAGAATGATACAAAAATTCTATAAGGTTTCACTTCTAAATTTTTAACACTAAACGTTTTTGCTCAGGAATGTTTGATCTTGTCACTTAAAAAATTTTCAACTTGGGGATTTTTTAAATTATTTTGGGGTTATTCTATAACCATATGCTATGCATTAAATTATTTGTTTCTAGCCGCTTTTCATAGGCGGCACAAGTATAGAAAGGATTTGCTAGATAGATAAGTAAAATGAAAATAATTGCCTCTTTCACTTTTTTCGAGACTTTGGCTTTTAGATTTTCTCAACTTTATGTTAAAAAGTCGTGGTTTAGGGCTCTGGTTATACGGACAGGGATAATCATAGCCACGGTAAACTTTTCGGTCCGTTATAGATTTCTCGGACATTCTTCTTCGATTGCTTAGCACAGCGTGCATCATAGGCATCTCCTGAACTCTGTAAAATACACCAACTGGTTTGAGTATCTAGAAAGGTGAGAGGAATCTTCTTCGTAGAACCAACATAAGTATCAGGGTTGCGTGATCGAACAAGCAGTTTAACTAACTTGCTGACTAATATCATTATATTTGGCGGTTAGTTTGCATTCAAAAGAATTTGGGAGTTTAATAGACTTCAAGCGTAATTATACGATTTTGTTATGAGTTTTCCCTGCTCGGAAAAATCAAAAATTATTACAGCAATATCCTGTTTGCCTACATAATTTCCTTAAGGGGTGAACCGGGTTTAGAGGGTAAAAAAAATCAATTTTTTGAAACTAATATCATTCGATTAGAAATATATTCAGAAATATTTCCACAAAATTTCAGAGTCAAATTCCTAATCATACCGCAGAAATGTCCTCTGAGAGACAATGAGCTCAGGAGACTGATAAGCGGACGCGAGAACCTTGAACGTGATTTTCTCAAAACAGTGTTGTTCTGTTTTTTGCACACGGCAAAAAAAAAGTTGTAATTGTCGCATTTTCATAAGTGATAACTTTTTTTACAGCTAATAGTGTATCACAAAAAAAAAAATAATATTACTCTTAGAACGAGAAGTGCCACAAACAAATACGAATTGTTATTGATTAACAGTATCAAATAAAGTGAAAGTAAATTTTTTTTGCAAGATTTGTGTATCTATGACCTATTTCAAAAGTACTTGAAACATTTCATACGTAAGGCAACCTGTTTTAGGTTGTGCCGAATATCATGCAATTTTCAACGTTCTAAACCAGGTTCCCCCCTTAAAACATCTTTAAAACTGTGAGACTTATTTGCATTCAAACGTTAATGTAGCAAATGCAGACAGTCACTCATCTTCTTGAATTCGATTTAAGTTTTGATGAGAAACACATGTTTTTTTAATATTTGAACATTTAAAAAATATATGAAATATGATATTTTATATTTAAAAATGGTAGATTTCTTTTAAGAGAACAGGGTAGCACGAAAGAACTGAAACACGTTTATTTTCAGTTAGCTATAAAGCCGACATTGTATCATTAACAAAAGCATTCTCCCTATTTCAAATAGTAAGCAATATTTTGAATGAAAATTATTCAAAGTAGGCATTAGAAAAAAATGTTTGAAAACCATATCCAAAAAAGTCTAGAATGTTTTTCTATTTACGTAGATTCCTCAACTTAAGCAAAGAAGCATGAAACTCAATATTACTAGCAATACACTCACATATGAGTATGTATGATGCCCAACATATTGCTTGCAACAGCACATTTTAAGTTGTTATGACTCACTCAATGCAACATACTCAAACCACTCGTTTTGTGGGCAGATGTACGCACGCAGCCGGCGCCACTCGGTTTCCAGCTGGTCGTGCAGTTGTGGTGAATTCCACATGTATATGAAGCCACTGGCAGTGCTTACCACAGAGATTTGAACCAAATTTTTGGTTAGTTTCGTCATGACCACCGTGAAAAGTGGTTTAGCTTTTGATGAGAGTATTAGTGTACATAACAGTTAATATTTGCATTGATGGCGCTTGAAAATTTAAACGTAAATAAATAATTACAAAAAATTAATAAAGTGAATTGAGTGTAAGTGAAATAATTGAAAATATGAACAGCCAAAAAATTAGGCAATCAAAAGCTTGATATATTTCTGCAAGTGCGCTTAAAGGCAATAAATATAATTTTTGTTGATAGAATAAAATAAAAATATGAAATAAATGAAATAGCCAATTAATTCACAAAAAGTTTCAAGCTGTTTTCCTTTCCTCCATTATTGTTATTCACCTACATTTACACTTTTAACAAACACATATTTTACATACACTCATTCAAAATTACTTCAGACATTTCCACCTGCTTTCAGCCACTCACTAACCGAGTACTATTTGTCGTTTCAAGCATTTACGTCTCGCCAGCTGTGTCAGGTCACACGCTGCGTCTAGTCAGCGCGTGTCCTTGCGTCGCGTCGTATTGTCGTTGAATATTATTGGCACACTTTTATTTAAGCGAGCGAATATTTGAGCGAATTCAAGCTTCCAACAAAATCCCACACCTCGCGTACACCAGCAAACACACCTGTAGTCAATAGGCGGTCATGAGTTTGGGGCATAAATCTTCTGTGGGTGAGTTTTTTTTTATGATTTTTGCAAACTAAACTCACAAATAACTGTCACAAATTCATTCGAAATAAAAAGAAATAAATGTGGTCTAACAACCAAAATTCCGACAAGAAATAGTCATAGCTGCCGCAATAACGCCCATCTAAGTCATACGCGTATATACACATGAGCTAAATACGGAAACGGAAGTTATGAAAGCGCATTTAATTTAAGGAAATGAATTTGCAGTGAGAAAACAAAAGTGATAATTAAAAAATTTAATGAAATATAACATCAAAAACGATATTTTGGTCCGCTAGTGCGGAATAAAGAACTGAATATAACTCTACGAAATCAACATATTTGACAGGCGTCAAAAAAGTAAACAGTTATCGGAAATTGGTATATAAAAATAAAGTGTAAAAATTGAATAAAAATTAATAAGCGGCATTACCGAAATCAGCGCGAAGAGTTCTAATGAAATTTAGGAAATTGTATAAAACACAGATCGAGAGTTTACAAATTCATGCAAAATAGAAAACAATAGATTTTTAACATTGCTGTAAGTTATATACATGAAAATTTAATATTTGCTCATATTTTACGATGCTATAATAATTTAAAGGTAGTTAAGACTTTTTTACTCTATCAACTCTATGGACGATATAATTTTGGTTTTCACCTTTTTGTCGGTTTTAGTAGTACGAATTAAATCAGCCAGCAATTGAAATTAATGGTGCACTTTTACTAGCTGGTTGCAAGGTAATAACTTAAATACAAAGGTTGAAATGAACAGCGAACAAAATGACAATTTTATTGAAAAAGATTACAATTTGTAAGACATACTTATTTTGATATTGCAATACAGACGTTAGTACAGCCGAATTCATGAATAACAAGGAGTCAAACTGGTAATATGTCTTGTAATCCTCTTGGCAGGAACCGCTGAATGAGAATGAAAATATTTATTTAATACTAAATAAATACTAGTTCTTTAAAATCAGACCAAGTTTCTTCAATGAGCGCTACTGTGATTACATTTGTTCATATTTACAAAGGTGAATGAGTGTCTTGTTTGTTTTATTTCACATATACTAAACTTTCAGGAATTTTCGCCGCCATCCAAAAAGTCTAGGAAATTAATGTAAATAAAAAATTAAGCAAAGTTTTCTAAATACGGTCCCTGCCGAGTGGGGAATGGCAACCCCTCCGAGTGTATTTCTGACATGAAATGAATGATTGTTTCTTCTTCTTCCCACTTTTTTTTAGTTTTCGCACGGTTTTGTCTTTGCGGAATTTTATTTGCTTTATTTAGCTAGCAATTCTAAATTTCTGAAATTCCAAATGAATTAAAACTGGTTAAAATAGTTTTGGCGTGCGGCTGGACTTTGAAATTCGTGGCTGCTGAGATGTGAATATGATTGGGTAGCTTATTCCCGTTTTGAGATTATTTTAAGAATTTCTGACTCGTGCAAAGAAATTGGTTGTAAAAGATGTGAAGAATAAAACACTTGCATGACGCTCAAAAGCCACTGAGAATATTGGTGCTGTAGACCAAAATTTTTAAGAAAATCTAGTTTAGTCCATTCCTCGTCCCTTTTTTGAAATTGTGCATTCCACAAATGTCATTACACCGTCTTTTACAAAAATACTTGGGTCTTGAGACTTATAAAGTTCAGTAAATACAAGAACTCAAGAAGGCCGATCATCAATAAGGTAGAGTCTTTGCTGTTTGGGTTCCTGAAATGCATGAAAATTAGCCAGAGTTGCGTCGAAAAATCATTTTGGCTGATCAGGACCACTTTACATCGAGAAGCAAAACTGCCGCATCTGGGGTTCGGAAAATCCAAGATTTATTACTGAAAAGCCTCTTCATCCTCATCGTGTTACTGTTCATACGGGATCATTCAACTTTAATTATCCGAAAATAAGGCTGAAGCAACAATAAGGCGAATGAATATCACTATCTAGGGATTTTCTTTTTTTTAGGATATTGTATTGCCGGAATTGGAATGTATTGATCTGGTCAATAATTGCTTTCAACGAGGCAGCGCTAAGCGCCACACAAGCCACGAGGAAGTTCTTAAATTGGCCACCGAGATCTTGTGGTTTAACACCTTGAGACTTCTTTTTTTGGAGAAACGTAAAACCTAAGGTTTGCGCTAAAAGACCAACGTCTATTCGAGGCCTCAAAAATAAAAGTTGTTGTCAATTGAGGACATGCGGCACCCACTTTGAGATTTGGTGATGGAAAATTTCCTAAAAAGGTGCTGTAAACGTAGACCTGGTGCGTATCTTGCTTATATTTTTTTCCATCATCAATTGTATATCTTCTTTTTTATGTTGAAAATAAAGATCTGATCATTTATCTTTGAGTGCCAAAAGGTATTTAACCTCTTATTGGAAAACCCTGTACTAAGTCCTAAGTAAATCCAGCTTGCTCTTTTTTGGCATTTATTTGTCTATTCAACAAATTCGAACTTAAAAAATATCTGTCACAGAAAGAGCGGCACATGATCCACTTCTTGGAAGTACATTTCAAGCAAATCGAATCTCGATCTATTTAAATGGGGAAAAAACTACTATTTTTTTCTTGCCACTCTTGTTTGCACAACTAAATCAGCGCAAAATGTCAAATTCTTTCGCATCCATACACAAATTTATTTCAAGCTCAAGGATGAAGTTTCAACGAATCAAGCTTGCAGAGGCATCATGAATTTTCTGCAGCTATTTGAACTGAATTTGCAAATGCCTCTGTTACTGTTTCAGTACAATATGCATTTGCATTCACATACAAATTTACAAAAGTTTTTCAGTCGTTTTTTACTTCTTTTTAAATTTCACTCTTTACTCCTTCATTTGAATATATGTTTTTTTTTCGCTTCCGTTTACACCTTTTCATACAACATCACTAGATTTACGGATGCTGATTGTATACCTATTTTTACTCAAGTGAGACAATTTTGAAACACATTTTCCGCAAACACACGCACATTTGGTATAATAATTTGACATCTGTTTCTTTTGAATCATTGTTGAACTTGACAATTCTTCCGTGCGTCAGCAGCATGGATTTCTGTCATTGGAATGGAAATTAGGTAGACTTCTTCTTCTCCATATTTGCTTCTTAGCTCTTCAGCCAATTGGAAAATAAAATCTTTTCGTTAAATATTTACTTGAGTCGGACCTTTTTGGGCAAGTACATCAACGCCATACTTGGTGCTATTATACGAGGTCTGACAATTAAATAATAAGACTGATTATATTGCCGTAATTGTGGTAACCCTGCGACCTTGAAATTTCCTTTCCCTTCTCCCGGCATCGTCCTCCACTCCATTGATACATTTGCCATCGCTCTAGTTTGTTTAGTTCGTCTGCTGTGCACGTCACAAAAATGCAAAAACGAAATCAAGAGCAAAGCGTAGCGCTAAAAATTAGCGCCGAATTGAGCGAAACAGCTTCGGTAACGTACACTAATTTTTCAATACAACCCGGAAATCAAATGCCAAAGCTAACAACGATTGTCTCCTCACGATAATTTTTGCCTTTTTTGATAGCCGTGGAATCGTGCACAAAGAATTTCTTCCACCCGGACAAACCGTAAATCAAGTCTACTGTCGCCAAGCACACGATAGACTCCGAAAACGAGTCAACCGGCTGCGCCCAAACATCGCTCGTAACGGAATTCTGCATCACGACAACGCGCCGTTCCAAATCGCCCTCAGCGTGTGCCAGTTTTTGGCCTCTAAAGGGATCACCGTATTGTTTTCAACCGCCTTATTCGCAGGCATCCCAGCTGAAGCGTTCCAGAAATTTTACGAAGCATGGAAAATTCGCTGGAATCGTTATATAGCTTCCCAAGGGGACTACTTTAAAGGGGATGGCAGAGTTTTAGAATAATTTTGAAAAATATTGTTTTTATATCAGTCTCATTATTTAATTGTCACACCACGTAATACGTTACAGTTTCAGGAACAAGTTTTTAATTTTTTTTTTTTCAATTGTTAAATTATTGTATTATGTTTTGTGCTTAGAAGTAAAACTTTTTTATTGGGCTTGCTAAAGCATCTTTTTCGGCCGAGGTCCTCTTTCAATTGGTGGTTTGGCGTCTTGATGATTTTTAACAAATGGAGGGACCTACAGTTTATATTGGATGAGAGCATAAGTTCGTGCCCGATTCTGCTGGATGCCGTTCGAATCGTTTGAGAGTGGCGCTCGTGAAAGAAATATACACATATTATATATCGTTGGAAAGGTAATAGTCTGAACTGTAAATCAAGCATATAATAACTTCATTTTGATTTGAGTTGCTTAGTGAAAAGACGCATGGAAGATGGACAATGAAAAAGATCATATGAGTCATATTATGTTATACGAATTCCGCAAAGGAAAAACAGTAGGCGCTGCAACTAAAGATATTCGCGAAGTTTATTTGGACCGTGCTCCAGCACTCCGCACAGTAAAGAAATGGTTCGCGAAATCTCGTTCTGGAGATTTTAACTTCTAAGATCAACCTCGCAGTGGATGGCCTTCTGAGCTTGATGACGATGTTCTAAGGACTTTAGTTGCGAATAACTCACGTTTTCCGACGGAAGAGGTTGCCAGTGAATTGAACGTCAAAAAATCAACTGCGTTTCGTCGCTTAAAAAAGGTTAAGTACACTTTGAAGCTCGATACATGGGTGCCACATCAGTTGAGTGAAAAAAACAAAGTGGACCGCCTCTGAACGGCTGCTGGTTTTTTACGAGGAGCCTTTATTTCATATCCGAAATAAATACATGGGGTGGTGGGCATTCCCTACCGAGGGGCGACCACAATTAGAAAATTTAACTTAATTTATTATTTAATAGTTATAGGTAACTATTTAAATACGCGAGATTTTAGTTGTGATCACATTGTTGCGTTACGCTTATGTTTTTCTTAGTTCAAGCGTAATTTTTAACTCACATCAGATAGAGCTCCACACCTACGTCCGCAGCTTTAAAATGGAACAAGCATTCACAAAAGTACACACTAAACATACC